ACGTTTTTATATAAAAAAAATTCCAGCAACACATTTTATTTGTATTTGAAGGCATACAATTCCGTTTAAAATATATTTAGTTGAAGGCATATAATTGTGTTCAAAATATTTAGATTTCGACATTAAACAACCCATAGAGTTTTATAAGCCCCTAAACAAAATCATCCAGCTATCCAACATGACAAGAAAAGATAAATGTACTTCTGTCTTGCTGCACCTCTTCCTCAGCACTTAACGACCCTTTTCTGTCTTTGGGTTTGAGGTTGCTGGCATAGAAAGATAGAAAGAATATAACGGTAAAGTTGTAGAAGTTTAAAAAAATTTGGACAGCAAGTATGAGTACTCTGTCAGAGCAGAAAAGTAGATCTTATCAGAAGAAGGTCAGTGAATAAGTTCATCACTCAGCATAAATATGAAAGAAAAGAACTTATATCATCGGTTTTCGCCAACACGAACTCTCAGACAGGTGCTTCCGTGCTGTTCAGCAGTCTGTGAAAAGCAACCAAAGAGAGAAGTCTTCCGAATTAGCAGCTGCTCTCGACGTGAGACACAGAATAGATTTGCGGTGTCTTTATGGATTTGGCTATAATTATTGGGGCGTTAAATGCAAGTATTTGCTCACATTCGTCAATATTAAGAACAGAAAAGAATGGTTTAATAGTATGTCGAAGAAAAATCCAAACATTTGGTAAGGTGTAATCTTACCATCGTTTTTCGGAATACTCTGCCAGTAGACGCAAATGGCTTTGGGGAAAGGCGAATCAAGAGATTTTTCAAGAACTGCCTGCAGTCAACACTCAAACACTGTAGTATTTCGATAATGCTCTAGGGAAAGATTTGGAGAAACGGTTGCTCAAAATTTGCAGCATACACTAGCAACATTAATATTACAAAATATATTTCACGACTTCATGAAGAATTTCTCCAGTCATCGGAATGACAAGGGGGCAATATATTTCATCCAAGACAGCGCTCCATGCACTGTTGCAAGTAAATAGAACGTAGTGGACTTCGCGTTCTACCAGGGGTAAGTCATTTACCATACAAGGATCCTATTGAACATGCCTGGGCCTTATCAGACAGATCATCGAGTAAGAAACGGGCGATAAATTGCTTCAAATTCTGAATTCAGCCTGAGCAGTAATTGCCTAGTAAATGATTGTAGAGTTTGTCACGACTATACTTGACAAACTGAAGGCATTCTAAGACGCTAAGAGAGCATCGATTTTGTATTGAGCAACCCAGGAAATTCTGTCTGTCTCAAGGCAATTCTTCCAAAAAGGGACCCTTGCCTTGAACGCCATTTGGGATAAGATCACCTCAAACCTAAAGAGGAACTCGTAAATACGACCCCTCTTTAAAGATGATGAAAAGGTGCCCGCTTCGCTTTAGTACACCAGTAACTACTACTGTCTGAAACAGTTTTGACTTCAATTTCCAGTCTTGATAGTGTCCACAAAGTACTCTTGTCCATGCGGAATACTTTTCACACACACAAAATAATTCAAGCCTATCGCTTCTCTATCGCTATATCCATGGAAAAAGTTGAAACGATCTATGTTCTTTAGATTCATCAACTCCAGCCCTCCATGCTAAGACACGCAATATGAAGTCGAGAACATTTTTTCCAATTTTCTTTCATGTTCTTCAACGGGTGTATTCATTAAGCAGAAAAATTGCCCAAAACTATTTTGTTGATTATCCTTCGTTTCAAAATTTGGTGAGAGTTTATTTACATTTCACCCACGCATATATATATATATATATATATATATATATATATATATATATATATATATATATATATATATATATTAAGACATTTTTATTTTTACATTCTTTTTATAGATAAAAATACTTTAAGTAAATGGTCTGTTTATAATAAACAACATTTACCGGCCTGAATGCCCGAGAAATTTTCACAAAAAATATTAGTCCTCCGACAGGATTCGAACCTGTATCCTATAAGGAACCGTCATTTAGCTTGACGTGCCTTTACCGATTTGGCCACAGAGGAGCGTTCGGTTACATTTGATACGCCATGAGCAGATATGAATGTATGTGAGAGATTCATGGAATATTGAAGTTTAAATACAGTAAATTCAAACTTTCTAACCGAACGCTCCTCTGGGGCTCTTTGAACATCAAGGCTGAAAATGGAGTCAAGCAGGAAGATCTTATGGCTCCTACAGTGTTCTTTTTTTAATCTAATTTTCAATTGTACTGCTTGAGGCTTATGGGGTCTGCCAAGATAGTATTATGATAAGATACAGGTCAACAGGCAAGTTTCTCTACATCCGTAGGTTTGCAGCAAAAACAAAAGTATTTTTTAGTTTAGTGCGCGACCTTCTCTATGCCAATGACTTTGACATGGTCGCACACACAATTCAGCAAGCAGAGGAGTTCAGGGATCGACTTTCAGGGTAATGTAAGGCTTTTGGACTGTCAATTTATGTTCATGGTAGTCGACTTGGGGTAGTAGACAAATTTGTATACCTTGGTAGCACCCTAAACCGCCACTGCTCCCTTGATGGATTAAGAAGGCCTCCGATGCATTTGCAACACTCAAGTTCCGTGTCTGGAGTCAGAAAGGCATAAAAAAGCAGAGAAGAATTAAAATATATAAATGCTCGGCTATACTCATGTGAGACATGGGTAGTCTATCGCAGATATCTGAAGATACTGGAACTTTTTTCATCAACGATGCCTTCTGTCTGTGCTTGGAATCCATTGCATGTCTCACACCCCTGATACTGTTGTTCTACAAAGAGCCAATTCACTCTCTGTGGAAGCAATTATACACAAATAGAAATTGCGATGAACAGGCCTTGTTATTGGCATGGCAGATGATAGAATGCAAAAACAATTAATATATGAAGAATTGGAAATGGGAAAAATACCGAAGCACACGCCAAAACTTCATTACAATGATTGCCTTAAAGAGTCACTATACAAGTGCAACATTAGTCTCGAAAACTGGGAGGCTCTGGCTGAAGTCCGGGTTTCTTGAAGAGGTGGTATTGCTGATGGCAAGATATTCCATAAGGCATCACAAAAATATGCAGAACTGAAGAGAGTTCAAAAGGGATCCCTGAATTACGATGAGGTGCCAACCTGGCCATGTGCCCAACGCAGTCGGATATGTGTGTCTAAGGCAGGACTGTTCAGTCAACAAAAATCACACCAACAGTCTGTTGCATATGATGATTTCATATTGGCATGCTTCGAAATCCCGACCTGCTCTAGAGAGTGCATGTCCAGGTCCTGATTGACAAGGCATATAAAAAGACACATTGGAAGTGATGATATTCAAAGCCAACTTACACCACCTGTGAAGATTCGAAATGTCATATATGTAACAAGAAATGCAGATCGCTGGATGGCTTTATGAGCCACTGTCGTTCACACAACAAACGAATGGAGTGCTGTGGAAGAGAGCTTAACTGATGGACTGTACATATCGGTGATGTTTATACTCGCATTGTAAGACGAAACTATCTATCTATCTATCTATCTATCTATATATATATATATATATATATATATATATATATATATATATATATATATAGTACATAGGAGTAATGGATAGCGGCTCCGAGAGCCAAGTTCGAATTCAAGTCGAATCCCATTACATTCACTTACGTGCTAATAACCTGGAAAAAGATATGAATCCTCTTCTCCTGTGGGTAAATAGCAGGGAAGTCTGAGTTCTATAGCTTTGGATGGCAACTGGTCTAGGAGAAGGCAACTCTGAATTCAAAACCTGAAGCAGGTCTCTATTCGGATCTTCAAAAGATGTGGTTCGTTATCTACAATACCTTCACCACTATAATCAAATCATATGTGCGAATACGACGAAAGACTCCAGAATTGTAATATATACGTACATATATACATATATATATATACTCGACTCCCCGTCAAATTCGACGTATGAGGGTCAAACAGATCAGTTCCCAGGAAACCGACAGCCCGACAACAGCACGTGAGAATTGAATATATATATATATATATATATATATATATATATATATATATATATATATATATATATATATAGTTTTTAGACATGCTAGCCTATAAAATATCACACAGTATTATATATTTAAAAACCTGCACCAATTTTAATTGCATAAGGAAAGTCACTCAGCCGTATAAATGCAAAAAAATGCAACCTGTCTATGCGTACATCAATGCCAACCACGAACTCGTCTTTTGCCTATCGCATCACCAAAATATGGAAGAAAAAAGTTTGCAGTAATTTAAAATGGCGCAGATAGACACAGACATTTCTGTAGATTTTTTTCCATTCTTACTTATTCGTTTCTTTTTCTATCTAGCTTTCTTTATATTTTCTTTTCTTTATTTTTCTTTCATTTTTCTTTTTAACTGTTTTTCAGATTCCTCACTTTTTCCATTTCTCTTGCTTTTTTATTGTCGCTTTTGTATTTATATTCACTTATCTTTTTGCAAGTTCACCCTTCTTTCATCTTTCTTCATAGCTTTCCATATCTTTCTTTGCTTTCCATTTCCCTTCTCTATTTTTCTGCCCTTCCTTATATTGTAACATCTATTTTATTTCTCTCTCACATTTTTTTTTATTTCCTCTATTGCTTTAATATGCTTTCTCCCTTTTTTTTCTCATTTTCTCTCAGATTTTCGATCACTCTTTTCCCTTCCATCTGACTTCATTAAGTTTAACTCTATCTTTATTTTTTAACTTCTCCCTCTTAACTTGCAAACGCTCTTCAATTTTTCACTCTCGATTTCACTCCTTTTCTTAAGTTTCACTCTCTCTTTCAATTCTTGTTATCACTTTCTCTCAATTCTTATAAATTCTTTCTTTTATTGCTCTCTCTCTCTCTCTTTCTTTTTTCTCTATCACTTTTTTTTTTTATCCCGCCTATTATTTTAAAGTTTCTCTCTCTCTTCGTGCAATTTCCCTCTTTTGCATTTTTCATTTTGTTTTTCTTGACTTCTTTATCGTATCTCTTTTTATGGCTCTCTCTCTCTCTCTCTCTCTCTCTCTCTCAATCTATCATTATCTCATATTTCTCTCTTTTTCTATAAGTTTTATCTGCAGGTTCATTTTTCTCTCTTTTTCTATTTTTCATTCGCTTTCATTTCTCTCTCTCTCTCTCTCTCTCTCTCTCTCTCTCTCTGTTTTATTTCCCTTATTACTCATAATCTCTTTGTCACTCACTATATATCTTCCATGTTTTTCTCTCGCTTTCTTTCATTTCTCTCTTTCCTCTCTTTCTTTTCTTGCTTTCTCCTTTTTTCCCCCGTCTCTCTTTTTCATGCTTCTCTCTTTCTATCATTCTTCTATCTTTCTTTTATTACACTCGCTTGCATTAGCTTATCACTTTCAGTTTATTTTTCTCTCTAATTTCAGAATTAATTTCATTTCTCGCCCCGTCTTTCTCGTTCTCTTTGTAATTTCATTCTCTTTCATTGTTTCTCTCTTTGTCTTTTTTCTCTCTTCCCTATCTTTCTTCAGTTTCAGTCGTTCTCCTTCATTTTTCTCCTTTGCTTTTAGTCATTTCTTTCTCATCTCTTTTTATTTCATTTTCCCTCTCTTTCAATTCATTTATCTCTCTGTTTTTTTTTCTTGTATTATCTTCATCGTTTCCCTCTCTTTCTTTCTTTAAACTTTATCCCTATTTTATTCTTATCTTTCGTTCTCTGTCATTTCTCTCTCTCTCTTTTTCATCGCTCTTTTCCTGTCTCAGTATTTTCTATTTAATTTTCCTATTATTTTCATTTTCCTGCCGTTAACGAATTTCTCCGTCTTTCACTTGTCTCTCTCCCTTTTTATAACATTTCTCCTTATGCTCACTTATATTCTTTCTCCTATTCTATCTCTCTCTCTCTCATTGTTTCCTTTCTATAATATTTATTTTCCCTAATATATCCTTTTTACATATATTTTCGAATTTCGCCATGTTTTACTTGTCTCGCTCAATCTTTGATATTTCTCGCACTTCTCTCTTTATTTTTTTTTTTTTGCTATCTCATTTTCATTGTTCTCTTTCCCTTACGTACATTTTTTTCCATTTTATTTTTTCTCTCTTTTGCCAATTTCACTCTCTTTCCGTTCCCACTGTCGATTTTATTCATTTCTCTCTCTCTCTTACTCTCTCTCTCTCCCTATCTCTCTCTCTCACTCTCTCTCTCATTCGTTCTTTGCTCTTTTTATTTTTACTCTATTTCAGATTTCTAATCTCTTTCTATCTTTCTCTCATTCTCTCTTTACGGGAATGTCCTCACTTTTATTTTTCCTCAGTTTGCTTCTCATTTTTTAGATTCATCCTTTTCCCTTAACAAACAATCTTCCGTTTCCTTTTCACTTTTCTTTCCTTATTTCTTTCCTGTTAGTTTTTTTTTTTAATCTCCCACGCCATTCTTCTTTTCTTATTTCTTTTCGTTTCCTCAATAAGCTTCCACCTTTTGATCGTTCCGGCATCACGGGCCGCTCTTTCAGTCGAGCAGACAGATAACAGACCGATTCATCTTCAACAATAAGAACGACACAGTTACATTATACAAAAGAAAATGTCAATAATAATGATAATAAAGACGACAACAACAATAACAATAATAATAATAATAATAATAATAATAATAATAATAATAATAATAATAATCAGTATATTAATAATAATAATAATAAAAAGAAGAACATGAAGAAGAAAAAGCAGGAAAACATATGCATGGATATGCAAAATAAATCTACAAGATATGTCTATGTTCAAAAAAACACTCACGAAATTACAAATTCACACATGTGTATACAATGGAAACGTGTATATATGTATATTTGTGAAAATTATCTATGTCTCTCTTCTGTATCTCTGTCTCGCTCTCTCTCTCTCTCTCTCTCTCTCTCTATATATATATATATATATATATATATATATATATATATAAGGACGACAGACAAGGTAATACGATTAAGTTTTTATTTAATTTTTGTTGTGTTCGAACAAGTGTTTTCTTTTCTGGACACAGAGTGTGTAGAAAATGTACAAACATTCCTCGTTTATGTTCTATATTCTGAGCGCTTTCGTCTATACTTTTAGCCATTATCAAGATTGATATTATTTTTTAATGTTAACTTGATGTATGGGTGGTCTAGATATATACACACAACCCAAATCTGGTTAAATATAAATAAGTGCCCTTTTTTAATTAAACAACGCATTATTTTTCGAGGTTTTTATCATATATTTCCGATTATGAACCTGAAATAAAGAAAATAATAAGAAAGATCGGAAAATTAAATGCAAAAATAATTAACAAGGAATTTTCTTTGGAACTTAACGAATCTTATTGCGTCACTAACCCACAAAAATAGAATGTTTGACACTGAAAATGTTTAACATTGAAAAACAGAAGAATAATTAATTCCTTTTAATAATATGTGGAAATATCCACTCTTTGACTGATGAAGGTCACGAGACCGGAAACCCATGTAGCAAAATTAGGGAAAATAGCATAATATATTTTTTTGCAAAAACACTCATTACAACCAAAAACGTTTGCCGTTTCTCTCTTCTTTTTCATATACAGTGTAACCCGGATATAAGAGACCCTGATATAAGAGAAACCCGGATATAAGAGAGATTTTCTCTGGTCCCAAATTAGAGCCTGTGTTAATGTATATAAATTAGACCAAACCCGGATATAAGAGAAACGCGGATATAAGAGACTTCTTCTCCGGTCCCGACAACTCTCTTAAATCCGGGTTACACTGTATAAACTTTTCTTTCGTTGGTTGTTCCGTTTTTTTAATTAAACAGAATTAATTATATTTACCGGACTAAATGTTCGCGGAATTTCGTACAAAATATGCGCTCTCTGACAGGAATCGAGCCAGTATTCCTCATGGGGCGGTCATTTGATCTGACGTGGTATACTATTTAGCCACTGAGAAGCGTCTCGTTAGCAAAGTCCTAATTACTCTTTTTAAACATTCAATCTTGGACAATATTTCTCGATCGATAATATCTGCTCACGGAATATATCTTAATGTAAAAAATTACATAATGAAATGGATGAAGTCAGACAATTATTTTTATATATTTTTTGTTTATACGTTATTTTTGCCACTGTTTACGTTAAGATATGTTTCGTGAGCAGATAGGATCGATCGAGAAAAATCGTAGAAGGTGTGTGTTTAGGCTAGACAATTTTCTCTCCTGAACCCAACATATATCTGTAAGTCTACCATTCATCCATTCTTCGCATATTGCTGTCACATATGGTCCACTGCTCCTACTACATATTTAGAGAAGTAACAGCAATATTATTCGTCCAGACATGGCATCTCGACTTCAGTCACTTTCCCAATGACGTAAAGTTAATTCCTTGTGCATTTCTATAAATACTTTCGTGGTAATTGTTCTCTTGTTATGAGTTATGGTACCTAGATTTTATGAATTTAAGCGCAGTACCAGATTAGGAAATGGTCCCATATGTTTATATTTAAACTGGGTAGATTTTATGCAAACAGATTATTTTCTGGAACTTCTCGTTTATGAATTTCTCTACTGACATTTTGCTTTCCAGGCAAGCTTATTCTTCAAATATCTTAGTCCTCTCATATATATATATATATATATATATATATATATATATATAGTGTGTGTGTGGATGGGGCAATGGATAGCGGCTCAGATTAAGAAATCGGAGAGCTGAATTCGAATTCTGATCGAGTTCGTAAAACACTTTTACTTGCAAATAAAGATGGGGAAGCTATGAAGGTGCCCCCCCCCAGCAGCTCCGGTTAATTAGCAAACAGGGAGTTAATGGCTTGGTTGAAAAATCTTGTATGAGAAGGACAACTAAATTTAAAACCCGAAGAGAGTCGCTTGGAAACCTTGTGCCACACTGCGTGAACCAGTTTTCTGCTTTCGGTTCTTTGAAAAGTGTGGTTAGTTCTGCAGAAGACTTCATTTGCGCGGCTAGTCCGGTTGTGTGTTGCGAAGAGCTGACATCCTGCATCGTCATACGCCAAAACGAAGGAAGAGTGTATATGTGTGTGTGTGTGTGTAAGTTTATATACGCATAAATCGTTGTCTAATTTACACAAAAATAAAAATAACACTGACATCTCATTTTAACAGATATATTTACCAGAATTACACAAAACTATCTTCAACTGCTGAAGAGTACATTATTATTCAATAAAATGGCGATTGGCTTCAACCACGGCCTCCAGACGAATTCTGAATTTCCTGCATCTCTTCTGGACGCATTCCATGTTTAAGTTAATGAAAGCTGGCAGAATCCTTTTACTTCAGTTCATCTTTGGTGTTACAAGGAGAGTTTTTTTTTTATTTTTATCTCTCGATCAAATCTCTCGTGCGCACATAATAATCATGGGGGTGGCAGCCTTGAGAGTTAGGTGGCGAGATATTAGGTGTGATGTAGTTGCAGAAATTATATATATATATATGTGTGTGTGTGTGTGTGTGTGTGCGCGTGTGTGCGTATATATATATATATATATATATATATATATATATATATATATATATATATATATATATATATATATATAAAAATAGTTCTGTTTAATTAAATAAACAGTTGATTTACTCGAATAAAAGTATCCATCTAAAACAACGTTTAAGCAGACGTGCCTTAACCGGTTTAATTTCTCGGACATTCAGGCCGGTAAATGTTGTTTAATACTGTTTATTATAAACAGAGCATTTACTTAAATATTTGTATCTATAAAAAGAATGTATAAACATAAAAATGTCTTAAAACAATTGTCGGGCTTGTCCATTTCATAATATATATATATATATATATATATATATATATATATATATATAGATAGATAGATAGATAGATAGATAGAGAGAGAAAGAGAGAGAGAGGAGATGAAGAGAGAGACATAAATTGATAAATAGATAGATAGATGTGTGCATATGTTTACCAAAATCACTCAAAAATATCTTGAAATTCTAAGGAGTCAATTTATTCAATAAAATCGCCATTGGCTTCAACGAATCAAAATATCAAGACGACTTCGAAATCTCCTGCATCTTTTCTGGGCTGTCCCCTTGTTTAAGATGGTGCCATAATCCTTGCCTTCCGTTCAACTTTAATGTCACAAGGAGTTTTGTCGATCTCTCGCTCAACTGCGCCCCACAGATAATAATCAAAGGGATTGCAATCTGGGGAGTTATGACATGCAGAGTTCTATTGCCAAACATAATTTCTTCGAGCAGTCACCTAGTTGATGCACTATCCACTCACGGCATTTGATGTAGGCCTCCATATTGAGTCTGAGGTCCTCAACCAAAAATTCGGGTTTTCTTTTCTTATCAGATCGATCAGAGTGTGTTTTCCGATTTGCCGTACCGTCGGAATCACAAGTAGACACATCCGTCTCTTTCGGAATCCTGTGTACTGTCCTCAGATTGGCATTCAAACCTCTAATATGTTCGCATTGGAGTTTCCGGTGCGAATGCCGTTTCTAAATTTCTGCCGAAGTGAAATATGTCAAGGTGCTCTTGTTCTCACAGACAGTGCCCAACTGACCCTACTATACTGTGCAAAATAAATTATAAAATTCCAACAATTTACCATTGTAAACTGCGTGCACACACACACACACACACACACATATATATAT